GCTGAACACGTTCGGGATCCGACATCGCACCTCGCCGCCCTACACGCCGCAGTGCAACCCTGTGGAGCGGGCCAACCGGACCATCAAAACGATGGTAGCACAATACGTGGGGCGGAACCAGAAAACTTGGGACGAGCACATCACCGCTCTTCAATACGCGTTCAACACCGCATGGAGCGAGGCCACGGGGCACACCCCTGCCTACCTCAACCACGGGAGAGAACTCGCCAGACCGCATCCGGAAGACCGACGTCAACCGGGAACCGAAGCACCACCGGACACGACCCACCGGCGGCTACAAGAGGCATACGAGCTCGTACGAGTATGCTTAGCGCAGGCATTCCAACGTCAAGAACGACATTATAATCTGCGTCGGCGGGATTGGAGGCCAAAAATAGGGGAGATCGTCTGGAAGAGGAACCATACCCTCTCCGACAAAGCGAAGGCGTTTAACGCCAAATTGGCCCCGAAATTCGTGGGGCCCATGGAGGTGCGGAAAATAATCTTTCCGGTCATCGTCGATCTCCGGGACCAACGCGGACGCTGGCACCGACATGTCCACCTACAGGACATCAAGGCACACCCGGACCAACCTGAGACCGAAAACTAACGCCTGGCAACCGGAACCCGCCGTACATCCACCACCAGCGGGAAAGCCACCGTCAATTACCAATCGCGACGGCCGATAACGCACGATAACATCCCGGTGATCAATCACGGGCATCGATACCCGCGAAATCTCTCATACCGACCCTGGGGGATTTGCGCTTACCGATCGCGAGCGTCTTTACGAACAGACACGGGCGCAACACACGATAACGGTGCGAGTATCGACCCCGGACACCGATCACTCGCGGTTACCGGTCCGGAGCCCCCAAACTCGCGATACGCGAGGGATACCGAGGGCGGGACCAGTCCGATAACGCGCCAGGACCAGCCGAAAAACCGCGCATACCGCATGCCAGGCATTCCAACCACTCGTATAAAAGGCCACGCGCCGGACAACCGGAAAATCAGTCGACTAACGGTCAGCACCATGCCGACAGAAAACGAGCTCCAGCAGCTGATAGACCTGTTTGGACGTTGGTCCGAGGACGAGGAAGGCGAATTTCCCGACGGCCCCGGGCCAACACCCGTCACGCCGCCACGGACGCTGGATCCACCCGACCACCGCCGACGACCGGCGCCCCGCGTCGGAACCGTAATCCAGCGGGGCGACGCAGACAACAGGAGGAAGATCCTTCTCCTGTCCACGCCGCCACCGCCACCACCGGACCGACGTCGGGCGCCAAGGCCGGCCACTAGGACCCGGGTCGCGCCCGCCAACGCACCACGACCCACACCGCCACCTCCACCACCGCACCAGCGCGGGCGGGCACGTGCCCGACAACAGGCCTCGCGGGCCAACTGGCCGGTACCAACCACGTGCCCAGCGGTCGCCGACACCGCGGCACCACAACCACCGCCAGCACAACCAAGGTGCGCCGCCACCGCCCGGGACCAGCCAGCACCGCCACCACTAAGGGCCGTGGGCGCCCATCCAGCGGCACCTATCCCCGTCCAGGTGGCTCCGGGGACCACCATCCGAGTCCCACAACATGCGGTGCACCATGTACGCCGCCACCGCGCCTGGACCCCGGAGGGCCTTTGGGTCCTCCGGTTCAACAGGGATGGCACCCTGCGCAGCTGCCGCCTACGACCCCGTGCCACCACCATCTAAAAGGGGGGGGGGTGATGTAACGTAATAAGATGACATATACACGTCAAAGATTACAGATAAAGGGAGCCTGGCGAGCGAGACTTCGGAACTCTTTGATGTTTGTCATCTCGCTTGCTCCTTCATTCTTTCTTGCTCTCGCTTTTGTCGATTCTATAGCATCGGGGATCTTTCCTTATGTACAAAATATAAACATTTTACAAAATAAAAACTGAAACTTACCTTTTGGATTTTATTAGTATAAATATAAATATAATGGATTAATGACTTTCTTGCGATTAAAATAATACCAAATCGCTTGCGGATACAATAGGTTGTATCGTATAACTATGAGTTAGAGAATTCAGGGATTGTGCTAAAATTTCAATTGTTGATATTCCTTTGAAGGATAATGTACGACCTGCATGCATTTCCAAATTGAAACCTGACTGGTCAGAATTATATACATTATCCTCCCCAATCAATATAATTTCCGACTTTACATTTTCCACAAATTCGTTAGCTTTTCTCCTCAATTCTTCTTTATTCGCTATTTGCGCTTGAGTAACAAATTTATTGATTTTTCTTGAAACAATCCGGTGTCTTATTTTAAAATTATGAATCCATTTCGAGGAAGCCGTGAACAAATGTCGTGATAAATTACAATCATCTCTTGCCTTTAGAGCCCATCTCTTAATATCCAGATCATGTATTGGTATTGATTTGTCCAAGGCACTTTGAAATTTATCTAATACATATTTTGAAATTTCCAGTAACTTTTCATTTCTTGTTCCATTATTAGCAATTTGTGCTTCCCACTTATATAAAAGTTCCCTCTTTGTGACCTTTCTGTATCTATGTTTAACTGTTTCAAATTTTATATTTTTTTTTACCAGAACGCCAAAATTCAACAGCTTTTTGTTTATAAAGAAGGTCTACATCAATTTTTACTTTTTTACCATCTTTTATCGTTTCTGCATAATCATCTTCAAAATTTTCTGCAATTATGACAGGATCTGAAATCACACTTTCGTCTTCATAATTTAAGGTAGTGTAAAATTTTCTTCAATTATGACAAGATCTGAAATCACACTTTCGTCTTCATAATTTAAGGTAGTGTAAC